ATTATATAACAAATATATATTTTATTAAATAACCCAAGTTATCTTGCCGAAAAGTAGTGTTGAGTAACAAATCATGAGATCTGCAGTGTTGAGTAAAGTTTGTGAAAATCGAGGCGTTGTTCTGGACGTTTGGAACTTTTAAACAGATTTCGTGTCACGGATTTCCCGCTTCCAGCTCTATCATGGGCTTTTCTCAATCTCCTTAACTTTCCAACTCCCCGAATTTATCATTTATTGCGCCGTCATTTGGCATTGTTTCGGCTTAGCAGCAAGTGGCCAAAGCAGCAAATGAAGTGAAATGGCTTGAAAACGACGATAAAGCCAATCAATGGCTGCACATTCCTCATCTTCGTCCTAGACTCGTTTTTACTTGCTCGAGATTGTTGCAACGGCGAAACTAAATGAATGTTGCATTATTTGAGACTTTTATTTAGTTGCTGTGGCATTTTTATGCATCTTGAACTTTTTTTTGCTGTGCGCTCACCAAAGCATTTTAATTGCGCTTTTTAACAGCAAAAAATTCTTCGCCATGCTCGTAAACTGGTGTAAGAAATTGTTGTGGTTGGGCATTTAGGGGGTGGACTGGGCTGGGTGCGCAACGGGATTTGTGGGGGCGTGTGACATAATTGGAGACCGCTGCGCTGAGCGGCTTGGTTTCTCAGCCAGAACCATAAAAATGTGCAAAGTATTACGCTTTGCCGACTATGCTATATATATATATATATATGTATATGTATGTATATACATATTTAATAGCCTTGGCTTGCCAAGAGCTCGAAAAACTTAAGAGTTCGCGACCTGGCGCTGTTTTCTTCTTCTTTTTTTTGGCAGTATTTTTAAAGAATTTTCATTTTGTTCTTTAGTGAACTTTTCCTTTATTTATATATTTTTTAATATTTTCGTTTTGGTTTATTTATTCTCTTTCGCTTTTATTGCACTCAAGTTGGTGCGTAAACTTAAATGAAATGTGATTTATTTTTGTCCTTGGGCAACTTTAGGATCTTTGCATTACTTCTCATTTACTTTTCCTGTTGTTAGTTACTTGAGCGTAGTAAATCATAGCTTGGTAATCCCCGAGCTTCGGCTGAGTCATTTAGTTCATGTGCTTGGACTGCTGGTCCAACTGTCATAAGGCACAGTGACAAGGGTGTTTAGAAGAGCTTTAGAAATAATTTTTCGAAAAATCAAATATAATGTAAGGTAGGCGCGTCTGTGTGGCTAGATATACCCTGAAATCATGACAGTCCATTCAGTTCGTTTCACAACCTGCCTTAGGTGTCCCTTTCGTATCCACCTGTGAAATTGGACAGGTAAGTCTCTTCCCTTCGTCAGAAATTATGTCATAGATAATCTTTAAATGTAAATTTATGTTTTAAAATATTGTAAAACTTTTTTGTTGCCTACTTAAATCTCTTCTGCATTAAATGTGATTCTTTGTATTCTTGTTTTTCCATTTCATTTTTAGGATACAATTCAATTTTGCGTGACATGGCTAGGAAAAATGGTCAAATGTTTTTCAACAATGTCATTTCCTTGATGTTTTCTTTTATGTTGTAAGCAAAAAAGAAAAATCGGCTTGAAATGGAGCGAAAGAGAAATAGCCGAGAGAAACCCTAGCTGGACTAACTGACTGAGGGCATGATTTTTCGCATTGCCTTTGTTTGACTTGGTTTATTTATCTTTTGTTTTGGTTCGGTATTTTTTTGTTGCTCCTTTTGGCTGATTTGATTTGTTTTCGGGGCCTGCTTTTGTCCAGGAGTCTGTTTCTTTCTCTTCTATTTCCCTCTCTCTCTCTCTCTCTCTCTCTGGCTTGTAAATGTTCGCACTTTAATCAAATGCCGGCTAATCTTTTGAGCTGCGCCGATGCTGTTTGTTGGCCCTCTGGGATTTGTTTTCTTAGGCACACCAGCTAGCCGAAAGTCGTTTAACGCATTACGCATACGCCATGTTGTGTTTTGCGGCTTGGCTGCAGCACTTGAAGTAAATGCCAAAAGTGTTGGCTAACTTAATTGAGCCTTGGTATGAAATTTCAGCTGCTGCCAGTGCTTAAATAATAATTTAATTAAATCCTGTGAAACCCTATGCATATTTGTTATGCTACCAGAGACAGTCGAAAATTCTTAGGCACACACACACACACACATACACCCAGAACAGACAATGTCCTGTAGTTGTTATAGTTGCATGCCAGACACGTTCTCAGTTTGCAACTGTTGTTGCAGCTGCTTTACATGTGCAACAATATGCCACAACAATGGGTTGAGTCGTGCAGCAAGTCCGTGCAACGAGGCGTATGAGTGTTGACTGCCGCTAGAGTGTGGGCGTGTGTCTGTGGCTTATTATGCCATTGCATGCAAGGCCGCAACAAATCATGACATAAAGAACGACACAAAATACTCAAATTTCTATGCATATACATATATGTATGGTCTATATATACGTTTATTTATATGTGGCCATGTCTAAATATACACATAGGAAAAATGTGAAAAGCATGCATGCAATTGTCTTTACACGTGCTATGTTTTTGCTGTTTTTAGTTGACTAACAATTGCTACACACATACACGAACACTCACTGCACTCACACACACACTCATACGCACGTGCTATTTGTTTAACTTGCCTCCGTTTGTCTGTTTATTTATTTACTCAACTATGCGGCGCCTTTTTGTGCTGCCTCATAATGTGTTTATGGCAAGTGTTTATCCAATAACTTTTTTTGTGATCTTTTTGACCACAGTTGAATTGTATTGTGTGTGTGTTTGTGTTCGTGTGTGTGGCCCACAGGCACGCTGCAAGCTTTTAAACTCCCTGAACTGTCATGCCATAAACAAATGCGCCCGCATCTCTAGCAAAGCTTTCAAATGCCCTCTTCTATTGTTAAATGCTTTTCATGAACAATCTGTTTTACGACTTTTATCGGCGTGGCGACATTGACGCACTGACGCACTGAATAAGGTTGTCAAAAGCAACAACAAGGCTACGCAATAGATGTAGCGCTGCATTAGAAAATAGATGTTTAAAATGCATTTCGTGTTGTGTGTCATTAACACAAATTATATGCATTAAATTTGCTATTTATTTATTAGTAAAAGTTGCTTAAATGTAATTTAATTAAATAATAATAAAATAAGATTTAGGAAAAGTATTAATAAATTATCCAATTAAATCATCTCGAATTTAAATTATAATTATTTATATTTAGTCATACCATATATAGTATACGTCGTTTACTATTTGGCATCGTTAAAGTAATTTTTGTTTCGACAGTTATTTAGTCAATTAGTAAATAACTGCTTGGCAATCCTACAAACTAGCAGCAAAAAGGCTATTAGTATATTTAAATAATGCTGCAAGTGTGGTCGAGAATTAATAACCCTTGAAACTCAAGCATAATTTCATTCCCGTTGAGCGTACAAATAATCAAGGGCAATAAACAGCTTATTGACAAATCTTAATAATATTACATTCAGGTGCTTGACCTCTAAACCGCAATTTATTGGCTTAAATAGCCTTCAGGACATTCCTAAAGTCTACACAGACAGTCGGCAAATTTAATTTAAATAGCAATTAAACTGATAAGCTTATGAAGCAGAGTCTGAATTTAGTTTAATGAAATTCAATCTTTAATTGAATATTGTAGATAGCAAATAAATGTTTGTGGAAAAAGTTTTTCACTAATTTATATTTTTGTATCTTTTGCATCAAATATCAAATTCCATTTACCGGCTCTTTTATAAATATGTATAGAAAAAATTAGCTAAAATAAATAAAATAAAATAAAGAAAATTCACATATGACAGATGCTTTATTTTATTTATTTATTTATTTATTTGTTTTTTTGTGTAGCTGGCTATAAAAAGCAAACTGCAGTCTCATAATCTTTCAGTTGCACAGCGCGAGTTGAACAGGTGATAGCTAACAGGTGAGCGCCCAACATGACTCGTGCCTTACTTATCGCTGTGTGCCTTTCGCTGCTCTTCACTCTGGGGGCAGCCAATTATGAGTGAGTAGCAAATTGAGAAGATTCTGCAAAACAATTTCTAGCTTTTGGCTTCGCCTTCTTACAGCTACAATTCAACAGAAGTATTACGACTGGGCTATAATCCCACCTATGATCTGTGGTACTTCAACCCCAGAGGTAGACCAAGGGAAATTACTGAAACAGTCAAAGCTGCCTACATGCAACAAAAACCTGGCGGCGTTTGTTATGTGGAGCCCGATACGTGGCTATACTGTAGAACACTTGAGCCGATAAACCAAGAGTGATATTCCGCATTATAATCAAGTATTACTCACAGACATTGTGCTTAAACTTAATAAATTGTTTGTTCCATTAAATATACCTGAAATTAGAAAACATTTTAATTTCATTAAAATATTGTATTAAATTTACTATTATTTAATTAT